TCACAGCATCCATGTTTGTAACATTTGAAAGAAAGGGATAAAAACTTTCATAAAGAACTGAAACCATGATGTTATAATAGTAAAATAGATTAGCAGTTGAACATGTTGAAAACTTCAAACTTATTTCTTCAAAGACTTTTAATAACATACCTCAGCAACTGAAAGTTGTTCAAATTTAGCACGTAAATTTAAAGCCCTTCCTTTTGGTGCAACAGGCAAAGCGTTCCCTCTCGGTACTTGTTCTTCTGAAAAATCATAATCTAATCATTACAACCTTTTATAATAACAATAATTCTGGGCACCAGGTTTATATCAAATCCTAAATCATTTTTAAGTTTACACTTGAAATTCTCATAATCTTGATTTAATGAATTTCTTAGCATCCAGGTAATAATCAAAAAAAATGTTTGCAGTTATAGGAACTTCTTTCTATCTGCACCAAAAAATACCAAAACCAAAAAACCACGCGCATGAGGAAATGAAATGTTGCATACAAAGATGATCGAAACCCTTCCACAGTTTCGACATAAGTATGTAAACTTTCAAGAACCTCGCCTTTAGCATATTCCTTTTGGTTTTCATGTTGAGTAGACTCGTTATATTGCTGAGTGTCTACCGCTGATTTATATTGTCTGTCGTCTTGCAAATCAAAATGACCATCAAAACTTCGTTTATAATCTGGAATTTAGGGATGCTTTAAACAAAACAGGACCTTATTAGAAAAATTAATTCATTCACGCCCTACCTGTTTGACTTTCATGTTTGTCTAATTTTTCGTAATCATCCCAACCAACAGCGCTTTTGTCCTTTCTGTCTTCCTGGATACCGAATTTTCCACCAAACCCTTTTTTATAATCTAAAAGTTGCTCAAAATTAAAAACTGTCAAAAGTATCATCAAGTACCATCATTACTAGAAATATGGTTTGAAATGCTTCAGGATATTATAAGATTCCTGAAGGTAGGTAAATATTAGGTAGGTAAATAGACTTTTGCAATGCCTACCTACTTGACTTTGATGTGTTGCCAATTTTCCATGCTCATCCCAGCCAACTGCACTCTTATCTTTACGATCTTCCTGAAT